CAATAATATCGTATCGTGGGATGTATGGTGATTCCCACCTCTAAAAAACAGTATTTTAGCTGGTGTAGACTCACAACTCAGGATTGAACAGAAAGCACACATACGTTCTAATTTAAAACATTTAAATTTAATCAAAACCGATGTCAGGATTTGGGCTGAGAGAGCGTCTGTGTTGGGTGGAGGAGTTCACTCTGACGCCTCTGTGTTTGTGTGAGTGTGTAAAAACTGCAGACAGTCAGATTAACGGCAGCGTTTTGTTTCTATCCACCGTTGTAGAAATTCGTCTCATGTAAACAATAACGTGGCGCACTGCATGACGTCAAAAAAGATGCAAACATTTGACGTTGCGTAAGTAATCTCTGTTTTCCTCGTCCACATGTAAACACAAAAACAGAGTTTTTAAAAAGTTTTCAGTGATCGAAAACGTCGTGTACGTGCAGACGTAGCCTGAACCTCACCTGCTCAGGTACGCCCACACGAGGGCATCTACACCTCCACCAGTGCTGTTCACCCACTCTGACGTAAAACATGGTGTCATGCTGGAGATTAAGAACGTGTGATGGTGCCTATGTTACCCACAATGCACCTCTTGTGTCCTGCATACGTTTGTGACTGTGTGTGTGTGTGCGTGTCCACAGAGGTGAAGGCTCAGACCACACGGCGGCAGCGCTCCACCTCCAGGAGAAAATCCAAAACAAGCTCTGAACCTGCCCAGGACGAGCCCAGTCCAGATCCTGATCCTGACCCGGATCCAGGACCGGTGCCCCCCGACCCTGAGCTGGCTCCCAGTGCTGAGGAGGGGGAGGTGGAGGACAGACTCCACTCAGAGGCTCCGCCCCTAGCCTCTAGCCCTCTTCTCCCCCCCTCCAGCCCTCCATCCCAATCCCATCATCTTGATCCTGTTCCTGATCCTGTGGAGGAAGACCGGCCCAGTCCGAGTCACAGCCCCACCCCTACGGATGTGGACTGCAGCCTGGTTCCCATAGAAGTAGAGGAGGACGGGGCCGGCCCCGTGGAGCAGAGTCCGGCCGTCAGTCCCCGCTCCAGTCCTCCAGTGTCCCCCTGTCTGCGGTTGGAGGACGAGGACTCGCTGTCCCCGCTGTTCCAGCGGTCTCTGTCGGAGGACTCCGGGGGCTCGCCCACCCCCAGCCTGGGACACACCAAAAAAAGGTGAGTGCTTGTGGACCGCCCTGCACACCCACAACGGCACTCAGCAGGCAAACCGGGGAGGCTTTTGTTTTGAAAGACTCCAGATTTAATGTCTCCAGTCAGATCTGACGTGACTTTGTGATGAACCTGATTGAAGCAGATAAATGTCCGTGTCATCTGTCAGGTGACGCCTCACCTCCTGAACGCATCGTTTTTTTCTCCCCAGGCTGAAGCAGTGTGCCTTCTGTTACCACGGCGACGAGCCTCCTCTGGGCCAGGGCCGGCTGGTGGTGTTCGGCCCGACGCCCGGCTACATCCCGCTCCACATCCTCAATCGCCGCGCCTCCTCCGACCGAGACAACGACTGCCACGACCACTGCTACCGCGGCAGCCAAGCCCCGGCCACGTAAGTGACATCACTTCCTCTTTCCCCTCTCCTTCCAGAGACACCACAGTCACGAGCTAACCTGTGTGTGTGTGTGTGTGTGTGCGCACAGGTGCTGCAGTCCAGAACAGTGTGGTGAGTACTCCCCGTTCACTGAAACAGTTCCAACCTGATCGCTGTTGTTGATGTTTGACTGTTCACTGTGTGCTGCTGTTTCAGAGTCTTCCTCAGAGTTCCTTAAGCAGCTTGGACCCATCGGCCTTCCTCATGACATCAACGTCCAATCACTGTTTGACCCCACAGGTACCTCCTCCTCCTCTTCCGCATCCTGTTCTCTGTGTGTGTGTGTGTGTGTGTGTGTGTGTGTGTTAAACCTCCTGTGTGTGTGTGTGCGTGTACAGGTCAGTGCTGTGCTCACCTGCAGTGTGCCACTTGGTCAGAGGGGGTGTGTCGAGGCGAGGGACAATCACTGCTCTACGTGGACAAAGCCATCGACACAGGAAGCACACAGGTGGGTTTTCACGGCGTCTGGTCAGTAGCCCCTCCTCCTTGTGTAGCTCAGGTAGATGAATACTGTGCATCAGCTGAAGCGCTCGGTTCCTGGGTCTGTGAGCCAGACTAAAATAAAATAGGAGAATACAAAGGTTTACCCACAGCTTCCTCCCAAAACCCCATCTATCTCTCACCTGTCCAGGTGTGCGCGTTCTGCCGGCAGCTCGGAGCTTCGCTGCGTTGTCAGGAGATGGACTGTGGGCGGTGCTACCACTTCCCCTGCGCTGCTGCTGCCGGAGCCCACCTGGACTGGAACCAGAGGCGCACACTGTGTACAAGGCACGCACACGCAGGTAAGAGGCGCCGACTGAAGCGGGTGTGAGGTTGTGATGTCATAACGTGACGTGATCATGTCTCCTCAGGGTCCTCGCCACCCTGTTCTCTGTGCTCTGGCGGCGGTGAGCTTGGCAGCCTGTTAATGTGCTGTTGTTGTGGTAACCGTTACCATGGCAGCTGCGTGGACCCCTCTGTGGCCCCCTCCCCTTTCTGCCGGGCCGGCTGGCAGTGTCCTCAGTGTCGCGTGTGTCAGAGCTGCAGGTAACACACATGCAGAGTTATTGACTGGGGTGAGCAGGTATTTGAAGATGGAGTAAAGAGTGCGTGTCCTCAGTGTGAACCTCCACCTGTGCTCTCTGTGTGTCAGGCTGCAAGGCGATGAAGCTGCGTTATTGGTGTGTCAGCGCTGCGATAAAGCCTACCACACACACTGTCTCACACCACCTCTGGATCACACGCCGAGCACCGGCTGGAGCTGCAAGGTGAGATAAACACACACGTACACACACTGCTGTGTGTTGAACTTTGGATGACCCTCACAAACCCCTCCCACCCCTCATCTTCTCCAGAACTGCAGAGTCTGCTGCCGCTGTGGTGTCAGGTCATCAGGCCAGTGGGCCAATCACCTGTTTCTGTGCGAGTCGTGTGACCCAGCATTGCCCTGCCTTCTCTGTGGCCACACCCCCGACCTCTACACACCACAGGAGTGCGTGACCTGTGTCTGCTGCTATAGGTACACAAGCACCATCTGTTTCACTGAGGCTGCTTCACAATAAAATCCCTGAACTGAAGAGAACTTACATGGCTTTTATTGTGAAAGAGGAATCCAGTGGTTCTCTGGTTCTCATATATGAACTTCAGTTACTTTTGTGCCCTCACTGCACAGCCTCTGTGGGCCTCTGTGGCGGGCTGTCCCAAAGGTTTAAAACCACTGGTGTTAGCTTTTATTAAAATATGCTTTTATTTTGACAGTGATGAAGAGAAAACAACAAAACTATTTTGTTTTGCAGGTTTGTCCATGCAGACTGCATCATCCAGGCCGGGGAGAGCAAGGTGGGGTCCAAAGTGTACATCTGCTCCACGTGCAGACCTCAACAGGAGGAGCCAAACCCACACAGTCCCACATTGGCATCAGCTGCTGCCCTTAGCCCCTCACAGACTCCACCCAGTAGCATTCCACAGCCGTCGGTCTCAACGTGCACAGAGGCTCCACCGGCCAGTCCTGTTGGTCAACTCGTCCCTGAGGAGCCGCCACAGAGAACAACAAAGTCCCTCAGTGCACCATCACCACCAAGTCTTACGTCATCTCACACCGACTCCCAGGAGCTCCTGAATAATCCACTGTCAGTTCTTCCTCAGTCTACAGGGCTCCAACAGAGTTCTACAACATCTCACCCTGAAGCCAGTGAACCCCAACAGAGTCCTCTATCGTCTCATTCTGAGGGTATGGAGACACAACAGAGTTCTCTGCCAGTTCTCCCTGAGTCCACAGAGCTCCAAGGAAGTTCTGTATCATCTCAGCCTGAAGCCACGCTTCAACAGAGTCCTCCACCAACTCTCCCAAAGTCCACAGAACTCCAAGAAAGTCTTTTATGTCACCCGGTTTCTGCCAAACTCCTAGAAACTCCCAAAGTTCTCCCACAAAGTGGATGGAGCATGGAGTTGGAACAAAGCCCTTCACAATGTCAGACTGATCCCACAGAGCTCCAACAAAGTCCTCCACCATCTCACCCGTATCCTGTGGCAGTCCAGCAAAGTTCCTCACTAGCTCTTACAGAGCTCCCTCCTTCTGCTGAACTCCTTCTGAAGAGTTCTTTACCATCTAGCCCTGTTCTCAAGGACCTCCAGCAAAGTCCTGCATCATCTCCCATGGAGCTCCAACAAAGTTCCTCGCCTACTCCTGTAGAACACCAACAATTTTCTGCACCGTCTCCCAAAGAACTCCCAGACAGTCCTACAACATCTCACCCTCTTTCCACAGAGCTGCAGCAAAGCCCTCCACCATCTCCCAAAGAGCTCCCATCTCAACTTGTTTCCATGGAGCTTCAACCAAATTCCTTACAAATGCTCAAAGAGCTCCAAGATCCTGCACCATCCTGGCCTGATTCCACAGCGCTCCAGAAAAATCCTCCACCATCTCCCACAGAGCTCCAGCAAAATCCTCCACCATCTCCCACAGAGCTCCAGCAAAATCCTCCACCATCTC